ACTTATGCAGCGAGTGGCCACCCTCAGGTGTTCGCCAGTCAGGGATTGAGGGGTGGATCTTCCAGCAATGGCCAAGGGTGGGGGGGTGGTCAAAGGAGAGGGGGGGAAGCTGGCACAGAACAGCTCTGACGTCTCAGCACAAAGCGCTGGCAGAACCTGCCCTGGCTGCTGGCTCACTTGGGAAGGAAGAGATGCAGGGGCTCTGTACACCTGTGCTCTCAACCTCAGTTTACACCCCATGCTGACTGCCTGATGGGTGGGTGAGAGAAGTGTGCTTGCAGCGTAGTGGCTGAGATGGGCCCCAATCCTTGCTGGGTGAAGGAGCGTGGTTGACTGTGTGTGCCAGTGGCCCAGTTGAGCGTAGGGCAGATGACCGTGCAGAGGCCTCACTCTGGGGGCTCAGAAGCCTTTCTAGGGCAGGCCGGCTGCTGCATTATTGATGGATGTTCTGCAGAATTTGCATGCTGAGCTGTAGGGAGGTGAGTGAAAGCTCTGGAGACGGCCGCTTCTGGTTTTCTTCCTACTTTCAAACTTAAAAATGGTCAAATCTCTTTTTAATGAATTCGCTGCAGTTCCAGTGCTGATCATGTTGCTGGCTCCAGGGGTGTCTGCTCTGTTCTCTGTGCTGGTAGGAGCCTGGGGACACAACTGGGCAGTAGGCTAGACTGGTCACCAGGGAGCCCTGCTTAGGACATTCACAGGTGCCCGGCAGGGGTGATCCTGGACACAGGACCACTGCTGCTGCCCAGCTACTCCCTCGGTCTCCATGTAGGGTCAACACAGGAGCAGAAGTTACATAGCAGCCCTCGAGGACCCAGAGATGGTTGCGGGACTCAAAGTCCACCTGGCCAGTCCCTGACCTCAGGGAAGCCCTTGGCCTATCCAGGATGCAAATGAACACCTGTGTGTGAAAGCCCAGTACCCTGCTCCACAGGGCTGGCAGAAGTCACCACATACATGTGGCATATTCATCTCTCAGGCCACAGGAGACACTGCAGCACCCCAGAAAACCAGGCTGTGCCCTGCCCACCCACCTTGGCCCCTGACAACCATAGCAGAAGGGGAAGGGTGAATGTAACAAGATCTGAAAAGTACACTTTCTGCAACATAAGCCACAGAGAAGCCTAACCTGCCTCCCCATGCTCCTTGCACCACCATTAATCCTGAGACTGGGCTGACCTTGCCTGGACATCAGAGGCCCCAGTCACAGAAAGGCCATGGGGTCCCTACACTATTTCTTCCTTCTTGCAGGATTAGCTTCCTTCCCCCACTGGTGGGCAGTCCTGCTGCCCAAAAGCAAACCCAGAATGCCCTCTAGTGGCAGCCAGCTGCACACCCAGAAACATGCATATGTCCGCTTCTCAAATGTTTATTTCTGACCGGTCTTCTGAGTCAGAAGCCAGGGTGGGTCCATGCAGACTACGACAATGACTGAGGGTCACGCTCACTGGAGAATGACGTCACACTCAATACCTGATGAGACCACAGTGCTCTAGGGGTCACCTTCCCTCTCCTCTGAGGCTCCCCTTGGCCCTTGGCCTGTGTTGGTCTTGAGTTTGTGGCTCTGGCCCCTTCTAGCAGGGCCACACTGCAGTGGGAGATGGATGACAGCCACGTGAATCAGGACAGGCGAGCAGACCACGGCCAACATGAGTGCAAGCAAGGTCAGCTGGGAGCCAGGGCAGGGGCCACGCCTCAGTGCTTGTCTGCTGAGTTTGGAGAGGTATGGGAGGCCCCCTGCAGCTGAGATTTCCAAATTGGCTCTGGGAAGGAGAAGAAAATCAGATTTGAGAGAACACAGAAACTTGGGTGGAATGAAAGTTTCGGGAGTGAAGAAGACTCATGGCTGGTGGGAGAGGCACAGACGAACTGAGGCTCTGTGCATCCTGGTGCCCATCCCTGAGGCTGCCTGAGCACCTGTTGTTCTGATTTGCACTTGCTAGCCGGTCTACCATGTGACACCGCCCAAGCCTGTCTCTGAGTGTCCCAGGCAGAGGCAGAGCTGCAGCTGGAGAACAGCAGTCCCCGCAGTCACCAGACCTTCTTACCGCTGAGCTGAAGGATGCCTGCCATGGCAAAGGAAGGGACGGTGCCTGCCATGGCCAGAGGGGCTCCCAGTGATGGATGGGAGCAGAGACTCCTGTGGAGATCCCGAGACACCTCCGAGAAAGGACTTCTGCCATACACGGCTCTGTGATGTCGAAGCCTGCAGCCCAGGGATGTCTGCACCTGCATTTGCACACCTTAGAAGACAAATCCTAATTGTGCTGTTGCCAAGGCAGCCAGTTAAGAGTGGTAAAGACTTGGCTTTGCGCAATGTCCATCCTGCCCTCAGAGCCACCAGACATCCTGGCGAATGCTGCCATGGCACCTTTGTGCCTCGAATTTCCTTCCTAACTGGCTCCAAAATCCTAGCCAGCAACTAACTCCGGCATTGGGAAGGTCATGGCCTGGCCCTTGGGAGACTCCGTGTTCCCATCAGTAAAATGAGAGACCACGTGTTCAACTGCTTCACTGACCTCTAATGAGAAGACAGGAACAAGCACCCCAAACTGAGGTTTTCAGAGTGTCTGTCCTCATTATGGTCTGCTTGCTCCCCTCCTGCCCTGCCCTGCTCCCCACCTTGAGCCCCTGTCCCCTGCATGGTGAAGGTCACATCTGCACCTGGCTCTGCTGCCCTGATCCACAGCGCTCCACCCCAAGTCTCTCTCCAGTTTCTCTCTTGCTCACTCCTGCATGAGCTGGCTTCCTGGCAGCTCCGTGGTGCCAATGAAGTTTCGTTTACAATAACAGACAGTGGTGGATGATCTGGCCTATGGGCCATAGCCCGGCCTGTGACCCCCACACACACTCCTAACTGCCCCGTATCTGGCACCCAGGTATCTCTGGACTGCCTGGTCATCTCAGCATCTGTGGTCCGTGCAGACACAGGCAGCATTCAGCTCTCATTCCCAGGTACCTGCTCTGGGGTAGGCCCTGCATTTGATGTGCACACATGGCTGTGAAGGAGCCAGTCGTGGTGTTCAGAGCTGTTTGGTGAGGGACACAGATAATAATCAATCAAGACACACTAAGGTGACATTAAAAATGTGCTAAGAACTTGGATGAAGAGGGAGCTGGGCTGAGAGCATGGGATGGGGGACTGGCTCCTCTGGAGGCCAAGAGAGAACTCTGTGATAAAGTAGAGCTGGTGGGGGCGGGGCAGTGAGTCAAGATGAGGCTTAAGGTGTGGCTCAAGTGGTAGAGCACCTGCCTAGCAAGCACAAGGCTCCAAGTTCAAACCCCAGTACCACCAAAAAAAAGGACAGATAGATAGATGTAGATATAATATAGATATAGGTGAGATTGCAGAGGGGTCAACGGCCAGGCCACACAGAACCTCATACCACACTGAGGAATCTGGATGCGTGTCCATGAACTTCTGCTACATAACAAAACCTGCCAAAACACAGTGACCCGAAACAGCCATTTGCTTCCATTTACTTAGCTCACAGTTCCACAGACAGGCACTGTGGGCCAGGCTCAGCTGGAGATGCCTTCCAGCCTTGGCTGAGCTCATTCACTCACTTAACCTCATCAACTGCCAAGCTGGCTTTGTCTGGGAGGGGGAGGGAGGGGAAGGGGAGAGAGGGGGAGGAGAAGGGGGGAGAGGGAGAGGGAAAGAAGGGTAGGAGGAGGAGAGAGGAATAGACCAATGGGCACCTGGAAGGGTATATGGAGGGATGGGAAGAGGGAGGGAGCAATGGGTGGAGGGATGGATGGATAGATGGATGGATGAAAGGAGGAAGGAAGGGATGGGTGGAGGGATGATGGATGCACAGAAGGAAAGGGAACATCTGGGGACACAAGTGGTGTTTGTAATGTCTCCTGGAGTCAGTGTGTGGAACTCAAACACATTTCACTGAGCCACATGGCTGGGTAGTCTTTTCCTGTACTTTCTAGAGGAGCAAGAGTGGGGACTGTAGGATGTGAGGGCGATCTGGCTGCGACATCTGTCACCCCATTGATCGCCAGGGTTGATTCGGCTGATCTGGCTGGCTAGGCGGGTGTCCCCTTCCTCCCTCACCACTCCATGTGCTTCCCTCCCGAAGCTGCGCGCTCGGTCGAAGAGGACGACCATCCCCGATAGAGGAGGACCGTTCTTCGGTCAAGGGTATATGAGTAGCTGCGCTCCCCTGCTAGAACCTCCAAACAAGCTCTCAAGAGTGGGGACTGTAAGGGTACTTCAGAGGGACCCTGTCTACCTTGGTCCTCAGACTCCTTCCTCCCCTGATGGTGCCACTGAGAGTGGGCTGGGTCCCAGCAGAGAGCTGCCCACTGCCCAGACTCGTCCTCAGCTGTCACACCAGAAGCATGTGATCTCTGATCCAAACTGAGGGTGTGAGGGATTTGGCACTGCTGCCTCCTGGAACAGCCAGTGGGCAGAGAAGGGCTGTGAGGCTTCGGAGCCTAGTAGAACACATTCCCTCTCTCACACCTACCTACCTTTGAAAGCCAAGCTCACTCAGGTACTACTTTTAAACTGAAAGCCACTCGTATCTCACACCTGCACAAAGGGACATGACCTGTCTTTTTTTCCGCTACTTGAATTCGGACCTGCAGTTCCTGGATTCTGTAAACCCCCAACACATGACTGCAGGCTTGCCCCCTGCTTTGCCCCCTGCTTCTCCAAACTAAGGGCAGAACTGGTCTCACTGGGCTTTATTTCCCCCCTTTTCATCTTGTCACCAAGGTAACTCATACCAATCATAGGCCCCTGACATGGAGACACAGTCAACCCCTTCTTACCACCCATCACCCAGGGCAAGGGAAGAAGAGGTTCCCTAAGGTTTCCACAGGTGGTACCCCAGAGTCTCAGAGGGGTCAGGCCCATTGGCCCTTGGCACAGAGTTCAGTACACGAGTTGCTGCAGCCAGCCCTGCTCTGGGAACAGATGCCATAGGTGGAGTCTGCAAGTCCCATTCACTGAACCCAACTAACCTGTGTCCTTCCCCACACAGAAAGTCCAGCAGTACACAGTCATCGTCCAGGCCACAGACATGGAAGGAAATCTTAACTACGGCCTCTCAAACACAGCCACGGCTATCATCACGGTGACAGATGTGAATGACAACCCGCCGGAGTTTACCACAAGCACGGTGAGCACCTCGTGACTCTAGGGACGCCCGGCCCCACAGGCTGTGATTCCCAGCATCGTCCCTCTCATTACTGCTCCATGTGACTTGTAGAGCTGCACAAGTCATGGATTCCCACGCTCAGGACACAGGTGGCTGGGATGGGAGGGCACCAGGCAGGACAGAGAGAGGCCAGAGGCTCCTCCAGGGAAGTGACCGGGGCGGGGTGGGGGGTACAAAGCTCCAATTTGGCACAGGCTGTCTGAGATTGAACAATGGTGTCTTTGTGAAGTCAGGAGGAGGTGACCAATGGTGGTCAGTCTGATGTCAGCCACTTTGGGAGGCTAGTGGTGTGGTGAGGGTGTCACCCAAATGGGCCTTGGCCAGAGGCAGATGCATCCGTCCATCAGGGGGCCCCTTTCTACTTTGGTCCCCAATGGACAGTAATCAGTCCTCTGTGGCCTCTGTCAGCAGGAAAGTAGGGGTTGACATTGGGCCCAGCACCAGCCACTAACACCTCAGTAACCAAGCATTTTGGTGAACATATGTGCATCTACTCATCTGACACTATTGAAATTCCACTGTACCTTGAGCCATGGGTCCCAGAGGGTCAAACCCTCCCTACCACCCCAAACATCGAAGGGATAGCACTGTAAATCATGGAGCAGCTATCACAAGGAGGGTCCCTTTCTATGAGGCCTCCAAGGGATACCAGCAAACACTGGATGACCTACTTCTGTACCGCCCAGCAATTCATGGGTTCCTGGCCACTGCCATCTCCCCGCTCACCAACACCCTCTGCCAGGACTCCCCAGGTTAGTGGTTGAGTAAACGAGGGCACTGAGTCCCCAGGCTGGTCTTTCTGGCCCTGTGTGGTGGTGCTGACATGACAGACACACAGCACAATCCAGCACCCTCCAGAGAGGCAGCCAGCTGAGGTGCCAGGCCAGGCCCTGCAGTGGGAAGGATCAGTGAGGGCTCCCAGAGCACCCACAGAGGAAAGAGGAATATGTGTCAGTAATAGCAACAAGGACACCACCAGCCACATCTGTGAACCCTTCCCATCAGGCTTGCCTCAGCCTCTATTTCCCCACCACATCTGTGAGGGGTCAGGACCCAGTTGCAGGCCAGGACATGGAGGCTACAGATGCTAAGGAACACAGAGCCACACAGCCCATAGGGAGCAGCTAAGACTGGACCCCCGAAGCTGTGCCACCAAAGGTGGGGATAGCTCTGGGTGGAGCTGGGAATGGCAGCAGCAGACTGTGAGCACACAGCACCACCTAGTGGGAAGACGGCAAATGAACCTATGGCAGGAGCAGCCCAGGCCCCCTGCAGACTGGATGTCAAGTCTGGTCCCTCCCCACAGGCTCCAAGCAGAGTGCAGAGGGCCCACCAAGAAAGCACTGGTGCCCCTGGCCAGAGAGGTCTTCCAATATCAGGAAAAGCCCCTCTCTCTGAGACTTCAGTTTCTCCTCTCATGGTAAGCCAAGTTAGGAGAAAGTAGGCCAGACTCCAAGCAAACGGACATGTCCCTTGCCCTGCAAGAACAAGGATAACCAGACCCCAGGACCCCAGCAAGGCCAAGACATCCTGGTGGTGGACCCAGCTGTCCTTCCTCTCTAATTCTAAAGGAGATGCTCCTAGAAGGCCTGCAGAGCAGGGATGAGCCTGCTTCCATGACAGAGCAGGGACACTCACCAGGCCCTTTCCTGGGCGAGTTCAGGCCTCACCACAGCCATCTCAAGGGGATACCATCCATCCCTTCCGACAGGAAACTTGCCCCAGGTAGCAGCACAGTAAGGAGCTGAGCCAGTTCCCCCTCCCAAGCCAGGTGTTGGTGCCTGTGGAGTTCAGGGTGGTCCCACTGTGCTCAGACCCTAGCTTACATCATGACTGCCCTCAGCACAGCCTGGCTGCCATGGACGGTACCTTCAGGACGACTGCATTTCACCTTCCCACCCCAGCTTTCCACCCCATGCAAAGCCCTGGACGGCCTGTGAGTCAGTGATGGACAGGGGGAGGAAGGAAACTGTGTGGAGTGAGTTTCTGCCTTGCTTTTTGCTGGGATGTGGAAATAGGGAGGCTGTCCACAGACAGCACAGTCCTCTGAGAAACAGGCAGCCTGAGAATCACACTGACCTGGGACAGAATTTTCATTTGAAGAATTCCTACCTCCACTCAACCTGTGGACAAAGGTGGAGAGACCTGGATCCCTGGGACTCTGGGGTGGGGTAAGAACAAGTGGATCGTAGTCCTGAGTCAGATGAATGGGAAGTCCTACTTTCCACTCCATTGCAGTCATCTGGGGCATCTTTAAATACAGGTTCAAAGTGGCCCTTGGCAGGATTCCTGGAGATGGGTGGTCCCAGGACACCATCTATACTTCACTGTGGAGTGGGTGGAACGGCTGGCTATTTTTATCAAGCTTAATCAAGAACAATCAGCAGAAGCTAGAGAGATGCCAGGGGTTTGCATAATCCCTTCCTGTTCTCAAGTGTTAATTAAAAGTTATTTTCTTCCCATTCCAATCGTACTGCACTGCCCCCTGACGGGCAGAGCCGGGGTTGCTCAGCTGGGTCCCTCTTGCCACCAGCACTCCCTTCCAGGGTGACTGCAGGGTCTGCACTCCAGGCAGGACACCACATCCAGTCACCGAATGAGGGATCTTCCGCTTGCCCCATGCACAGTCCCACCTAGCACAGCAGCAGCAGCTGACTTCCTCCGGCCTAGCCCAACCCACCCATTCCCTTCCTGGAGTCAGAAAGCCCTTACTTCTATCTGTGTGGCCTTGGGCTAATGGCCAGACCTCTCTGAGCCTCATTTTGCACCGTGTCATCTCAAGGTGGAAGCATTCACTGGTCTTTAGGAAGCTTACATGCTGAACTATATATAAGCTCTGCTCTAAAAATGCCCCAGAAGCCTTATCAGGGGCATCGAGTGAACCTGGAGTCCTGCTCCAGCTCAGCCTTTAAAGAGGTGAGGGCTTGAGCATCTCCAAATCTTCCAAGCCCCAAATCCTGGCCTGGGAAGGAAAGGGACAGAGTATGGGGTGCGCACTGCTGCAGTTTCAAAGTTCTGTGTGAGGAGACATTTGGCTTTGTTGCGTGTCTGTCCTGGACCATCTATTCTGCATCCCAAGCCATGGACGACATTGGGTTAAATGGTTAAATGGGAGTGGTGAGATCACATGGTTCCCACAGGTCGCCTTCAGCAAGATGAGGGAGCAGCATGCCTTAGGGTGGTACCTGGCTTGAGGGCACTCAGCCAGGATCCACTTTTCACACAGAGTCATTTTTCTATCACAAAATAGACAAAGATACCAAAGACAATCAGCTTATGAGGATAAGACTTTGGCTTGAGTTTCAGAGGGTTTGGTCCATGGTTGCCTTGTTACTTTAGGCCCATGGCAAGGAAGCATATCTCGGCAGGGAGTGTGTGGCAGAGAGAAATGCTCACCTCCTGGTGGCCAAGAAGCAAGGAAGAAAGACAGGAGGTCCCAATATCCCCCTTCAAGGACACGCCCCAATGACCTAACTTCCTCCCACTAGGCTCTGCCTCTTAAATGTTCTCCCTCATCTCAACAGTGCCACCAGCTGGTCAACACATGCCTTTGGGGGCATATCTCATGCAAACCACAGCAGCTGGCAGGTAATGGAGATCACTCGCTCATGGGGGTTAAAGATGGCTTTACCAGGGGCGGGGCTCCAGTGATTTAGGAACCCAGGGAATACAGACTGTGGCCCCCAAGCTTCTGAGGCTCTTTTGGAAGCATCTGCCCCAAGTTGCCCAGGGACAACCTATGCAGCCTTGTCCTCAGAACTACCCACCTAGCAGGTAGCTTCCCTGGAGCAGGCTAGGCAGGTCTAGGGCAGCCTCTGCCAATGTCTGCCTCAGCCCCTCTGCCTCAAAGTGAGCTCCCACTGGTCAAGCCCTGTGAATACCTGACTTCTTGGCTTTTCAATTAAGTACTTAAACCCTGGAGAAGAGAGAAATTTTGATTCACATGAGTTGCTGAGAGTGAGAATTTGACATCTTAAAATTGGAGTGGACTTTGTGCCCTCAATTATGCTGGAGTGTGCAGTGCAAACCTCGGCCATAAATAATTAATTACAGCCAGCTCTTCTGAGCACCGAGGTGGTCGGGGGACCATCCCCACCTGACATTACCTCTACCTCCCTGCCCTTCCTGCCAGGCCAGTGCCTGCTCCCTGAAGACACTGCAGCTGCCCGTGCTCCTGAGAGCCCCACTCCAGGCAGGACCCAGGGGCGGGGATGAATGAGACCCAGGCCAGCCCAGGAGCAGAGCCTGACAGAAGGCAGAAGTGCAAATAACTGGGATCTGAGAGGGTGACCCCAGGGTGGGGACACACAGAAACATGCAGTCCCTCAGCCTGGGGGTCAGGACTTCAGGGCCACTGGCTGATGGTACTGTCACCGCACTCCTTGGGCTTGCTGGAAACTTTCACACACACCGAACCACACTGGGGGTATGAGGTGACAGGGTAAGGGACCCAGACTGCCCAGCCTAAAGCCAGGCTCCCCCTGACCAGTTGCTGACCTGGGCCTTCTGTGCCTCAGTTTCCTCATCTCTCCCTACCTGGTAGGGGATATAAGGCCTGAATGAGTTTGTAGATGTCAGCCACTTGGCAGCTGTGCCTAGCTCACAGGACAGTCAGTAAGTAAAACAATAGTAGGGTCATGTTGCTACATTGTATTATTAATAGTGATTACCGAACATTGTCGCACGCCCTGCAGATGAGCCAGCTTGGTCCATGGGCCACACTGCCAGGGAAAAGGCTTGGGAGTTATCTTTAGCAAAATGCTGCTTCTTCCGCTGGGGCCAGCTTTTCCCTGACAGCTGGTCACTGCCGGACCAGGCTCAGGCCCACTGCTCTGCCACCTAGTCTTGCCCTGAGCCTGTGACAATCTCAACTACAAAGGCAGGAGGAGGAAAGAAACTGGCTTTCCAGTTCCTTCCTGTTCTCAAAGCCACAGATCCTGCAGTTCTGACTTCTGAACAAGAACCCAACAGAAATCATCAGTTTTACTCAAAGAAAACTGAATTTCAAAAATTAAAAACACCGTGCTGCAAACAGAGCAAGTATCCTGTAGTTTCAACAGAAGCAAACACGGAATGGAGGCCAGCAGCCAAGGCAGGGCCCAGGCCCCACCCAGGTGGACAGGAGCACCTGGCCAACACTCCTGCGCTAACTAAAAGGAAGGTCCCCAGAGCTCCCACTGGACAAGAGGACCAGCAATGGGAGGGGTTCCCCAGCCCCAAATTACCCCCAAATTGTCACTCCAGGCCGGAGGTGCAGCTTAACCTACGTGCAGAGGAGCAGGCTTTCAACAGGGCTGGCAGGACAGTCCAAGTGAAGGGACAGTGATGAAAGCATGGAGGCCATGGGGGAGGAGCAGCAGTGGGGAGCACTGTATCTCTGCTTTGTCCCCGCTACATGGAAGGGAAGATTTACAATCGGGTCACAAGCCTTCTTGGAGACAAATTCAGACCTCTGTGCGACTGGGCTCCTGGATGAGAAGGCAGAGCTCGCAGTGAGCCGCAGCTCATTTTGCAGGATACCGGGTCTACAGGATGTCTTGCTGCAGAGAACCAGTAATGGGAAGGCAGGAATGTGCCATGGCAGCACCCAAAGGTCTATCCCTGACCCCGCTGACCCTGGAAGAAGACAATCCTAGCTCTGCTTCTTGTCCTCACCCTGGCCTCCTTCCTACTACCAGTGGCTCCCCTGGGAACTACGGGATCCAGGCTCCAAGCTGGGTTCAGCTGGAAGTACTTCCCAGGAAACTAGGAAGTAGAAACCCGCCAGCCTCTTGAGAGGGGTGTGCACTTGAATCCTGGATTACAGTTGAGGTGTAAGAAATCTCATTCCAACACTGTTAAAATTCTGTCTTCCCAAATATCTCCTTGTGTCCCAGGGCGCACAAGGCTTTTCATGTGCCTGGAAATTTGAAAAATTAAATTAAAAAGTCATTACAGCCAGGAGAAGGTGAACAAGAGAATCCACAGCCAGGCTTTTCAGCTAAGGCCCTTCTTTGCGAGCATTATTAAACTTGCATGAAGTAAAGTAGACTCTCTGTGTGAGCTGCACCCAGGAGTCCGGAAGATGCCCGGCCTGGGCAGGAACCTGAGCAGGAGCAGAATGGAGGCCTCAGCCAGGCCCTCATTGAACCTCCTGGCAACACCAGAACCCACCTGGTCATTAATCACAGGGAGGCCACCAAGGGCATGAAGCCAGGAGCACCAGCCATGAATATGGCTCCACTGGGTTGTGGGGTGGGGAGGACCTCTTGTCCTCCCCACCAGTTCGGAGCCTCAACCCCCACCTTCTGCCTCTGCAGGTGCCAAAGCACGAGGCCTCCGGCTCTCTTCTGAACCTCAGGCAGGTGCACACCACTGGCAGGTCCTGGGGAAGAATGTTTCTGAAAAATAAGATGATGATTCAGAAGTTGCTGGAGAGCCAGGAGGGCTAATCAATGTCTACTAGACTACCCCGATCTAGTGAACTGAAGAAAAAGAGACTACCTCATCTCAGAGGAGTGGAAATGTTCTAGAAAATCAGTGTTAGGCATGGTGGGATCCGGGCTCCAACAGCATTACTAGGACCCCACCCCCCCCTTAACCATTCTTCCACCGGGCAGGCCTTGTCCTCAGGTTATAAGCAGTTCTCACCCTACCCAACACCCTCTCCTCCCTGAAACCCCTGCTCCAGAGCTCCAGCCATTGGGTTGAAGAACCCTCACTGTCCCTCCAACAGCACTGTCCCCAACTCCACCATCTGTGCTGCACCCACCTCCCACCAGTCCATAGAGATGCCAGCTCCAGGGAGCAGACCCGTCCTAGGGTGGGTGGGGGCGCCTCTGGCCCTGGCCAGCTCAACACACATCTCCTCCAGGCCATGTCAGCCTCTACAATCCCCTCGTGACCCAGAGAAGAGCCTCAGCAAAGAGCCGGACCCAAGGGCCACATGCCAACAGGCAGGGTCCACTGCTACTGCCTGTGCCCTCGGTGTTCAACCAGAGGAGCTGCAGGTTTGGAACTAGAACCACTCTCCCAGAACTCTCTGGAAGCCTGTGTGCGTGCACACACCTGCCTTCAGAGGGGATCAATGACCAGCACAAACACAAACACCTCTGCAGCCTTCTTTGCCTTTAGTGCTCCAGGGCAGTGAGGCTAAACACACCCTACAAATCAAAAGAAAAGAAAACCTTGACTTATCAGCAAAGCGTCACTTCCAACCAAGGATGTGAGAACCGGGAAGAGAAAGATTCCTGGGAGGCCCTGGGGGACCAGAAGCAACATCCTTTAGGATGCATAGCTCGGGTTTCCAAACTGATGGCAAATTAGCAAGGCAACTAGTGACCTTGTTCAACAGTACGGATTTCAAGACAGCAGAGCTCTGAACTGAGCTCAGACCCTTCTGAGCATGAGACGGGAAGCCAGCACCAGTAGACATTCTCAACCCATGAATAGGAGGCACTCAGGTCTCTGTCGCCAACACATGCCTACATGTGTGCACATGGCTTCTCACTGCTTCAAAACCACCACACCAAGAGGGCCGCCATGGCCCAGAGTGGCTGCAGCTTCACTGTGCTGTGGCAGCAGAAAGGCTTTGTGCCTCCTGTATGTCAGTGATGACTGTGATGGGGACCAGAGGGACAGGGATGGCAGGAGCCCAGAGATGATTCTCTTGAGACATCTGTGCAGCTGCCACTCTGTCGTTGCTGGTTCCTGTTTGGGCAGCTCACATTTGTGGTCACACAGACGTCCCAGCTAAGTAGCTTGCATTATTGGTCCTCTGTGTGTGTGGGAAAGATTCAGAGGGGACGTGGGGGGAGGGTGGGAGTGTGTGCATGTGTTCACGCATGTGTGTGCACACATGCTCTTAGGCGAGGCTTGCGTTGAGTTGATCTGTGCAGATGGTAGCCTTGGGAGTTGCTGGGCATCAGCCTTCTTGGTACCCAGCTGCTATCAGCATGGGCCTCCCTCCCAAGTCCCCCTGGTCGAGAGCAGCAGCCCTGGTACCTCCCAGGTGCCAGCAGCTAGTCCACCTCCTGGGCTCCTCACAGGGTCCTAATATTCTTTTTCTTACATTGTGCAGTTTACAGGGGAGGTCCCTGAAAACAGAGTGGAGATGGTGGTCGCCAACATCACAGTGATGGACCGTGATCAGCCTCACTCCCCAAACTGGAATGCTATCTACCGTATCATCAGCGGGGACCCCTCAGGCCACTTCAGCGTCCGCACAGACCCCATCACCAACGAGGGCATGGTCACTGTTGTGAAGGTGGGTGACTCTGGGGCCAAACGGAAATGAGGCTTGACCTATCCCCACATCCTCTGCTAGAGGCACAGACGACCTCCACCAGGCCCCCAAAACAATGCCACTACCCCCTTGACTAGAGCCATTTGCTCTCCTGAGACCCCCCTCAAGCTGTGAGGTCGTGCTTTCTAACACACTGAGGCCTTTTGCTAATACCTGAAGATTTCTTATGTACTTTCTGTGTAGTTTAAGCTGATGGTTTTCCTTCCCCAGTGTCCGGTGGCTTTTGGTGTCTTGGTTGAAGATGAACCTTAAAAGATGCATGGGACTGTTCCTTGCCTCTGTTCCCTGGGACAGTCACACAGGTTGTCCTTATCTGTATGTACACATAAGGCTGGGACTCCCTGTTGAAGGTCTGGCTCTTTTCTGATCCTGCTAATTTTTATTTTAGAGTGGAGTAGGCTAACTACTGCTCCAACTTCTTTAATGATTTTGGTTGGTCAGATCTGCTTTTCTAGAAAAGTCCACCTGCTCTAAATTTTCAAATGGGCCTATATAAGCCTATCATCAAACTAGGAGTGATCCTGTCCTCTAACCTAAGCCTTTTTCTGTACTTAAAGTTCATCTGGCCAGGGAAGGGTAGATTGATACAATGAAGCAAGTCAGTCATTTACTATTTAATGTGAAGCAGTTTAGCAACTATTGTCCCAAAGCAATTTGTAACAGGATAAAGAGCAAGAGAGAACAAGGAATGTGTAGAGAAAGGAAGGGTCACAAAAGGCAGCTAAATGTCAAGGTGGAAGGAAAAGGAAGTGTCACCATAGGCTGTCAGAAGCAGAGGCTACATTTCTGGGGGCTTTATTCTCAAATGAAAGGAGTCCTGAGGCAGGTACAGCAGCTCCACAATCAATGGAAGCCTGAGGCTGGAGGTGTGGCGCCTGCCTAGCAAGTGTGAGGCCCTGAGTTCAATCCCCAGGACTGCGAGAGGGGAGGGGAGGGGAGGGGAGGGGAGGGGAGGGGAAGGAAGGGAAGGGGAAGGAAGGGGAAGGAAGGAGAAGGAAGGGAAGGGGAGGCAAGGGAAGGGAAGGGAAGGGGAAGGGAAGGGGAAGGGAAGGAGAAGGAAGGGAAGGGAAGAAGGAAAGGAGAGTGAAGGAAAGGAAAGGAGAGCGAAAGAAAGGAAGAGAGAGAGAAAGGAAAGGAAGAGAGAGGAAGGAAAGGAAGAGAGGAAGGAAGGAAGGAAGGAAGGAAGGAAGGAAAGCCCATTTGATTCAATGGAAACCCCAGATGCTTCTCTCTTTCTGCTCTGTTATACAAGACTTTCATCCTCTAGGGTATCTCATGGTCCAAAATGACTGCAAAAGCTTGCCACCAATACAAGAATTTTTGCTGGGCATGGAGGCTCACACCTGTAACCCTGGCACTCGGGAAGCTGAGGCAAAAGAATCAAAAGTTTAAAGCTAGTTTAGGCTACATAGCAAGACCCTAAAAAAGGTGGGAGAGGGTGTCAGGCATGGTGATTCCCACCTGTAATCCCAGCTACTCTGGAGGTAGAGATTGGCAGGACAGAGGTTCAAGGCTAGCCTGGGCAAAAAGTCAGAGACTCCCATCTTAACCAACAAAAGCTGGGCACAGTGGCACATGCCTGAGATCCCAGCTACTTGGGAGGCTGTGGGTAGGAGGTCATGGTCTAAGGCTGGCCCCAGGCAAACACTCAAGATCCTACCTGAAAAATAACTAAGGCAAAAAAGGGCTGGAGGCGTGGCTCAAGTGGTTAAGCTACTGCCTTAGCAAGTGCAAGGCACTGAGTATCCAAAAAAGATTTCACAGGCCGCAGGAAGTGAAAGAAGGAACTTTTGTGTCACCCCGTGATAAAGGGTCTTCATCAACGGACAGTCATTCCTCCATACCATCGATCTCTCGCCAATATCCAACGTTCCCCACCGTATCCAATATGGTGTCTTCACGGTTGGTTCCCACTAAGACATGAGCACAGTGTGCGTGTGGCCTCCAGCAGCAAGGCTCCATGGCTCCCTCTCACGTAGTCAGAACTGAGAAACCTGGTCACCTCCCTCTCTCTCCTGTGAGTTCCATGTACCAGGAGACAGAGCAGAGACTCGAACACACGGAGGATGCATGTTCTCAGCAGAAACAGTTTTCAGCTGAGGCTGTGTGCTGTAGATTCCTGCATCTCTGCTGGCCCTGCCACGGTGACATGAGGGCTGACGGGCTCAGTACCAGCCAGTCATGTTGGGCTCCCTGGCCTCCTGTACATGGTGGATGGTCACGCCTTGCTCCTAGTGCCGGCTCCCCTCCAGCCTCCACCAGGGTCTCCACACCACTGGAGCCAGCCAGCATCCAGAAGATGCTGTCACTGGGGACTGAGAATGGCTCTTTTCCAATTCTGTCCTTCTTTCATTTATTTGCTGGCATTCTCCTTCTTCAAGTAAGGCCACATGTGCACCTCAGAATACAGTCCTTAGAAGACAGGCAGGACACACAAGTGGCCATCCCCCTGGCCTGATGTCAGGAGGGAGGCGTCAGCACAGGGCCCACTGGAGGGACGAGACCTGTGTGCAGGAGCTGTGGGGCTGTATGGCACTCCTGAGCGCCATGATTGTTAAGGATGTCTCTCAAAGCAAGTCCACGGCTGTGTCTGGAGGGTCTCACTGGCCTGCCCCCACACACACACACTCCCACTTCCCTCCCAAGCTGCCCTGGCCCTGAGGCCGGGGGACCCAGCCACCTCCCCCGCTGTACCTGGTTCAGTGCCCAGCTTCTTCAACCAGGGGCCACTCTGCCACTCCCTCCCTTCATCTCCTTGCCACTGTCCAGCTGCAAGCCTCAGTGTTCTCAGAGAAAAGGGGGATGCTGGCCTACTGATCTCTGTCCTGGCCTTCCCCTCGGCTTACACCCTGAAGCCCAGCCCTGGCTTCCACTGCCCCAGAGAGGGGTCAGGGAGTCACAGCCACTGCCTGCAGGAGGCTCCTGGGTGGCAGCACATCAGTTGACAGACCTGGACAGAAGTGCCTGCCTGGCACAACCTCTCTCCAAGGGAAGTGGTAGCATGGACTGCACAGAATTGCACGCTGTGAAATACCTTCTCAGAGGACAGACAGGACACGCGGGACCTTCCTTCTCTGCCCTGATGTCAGGGCAACTTCTCCCCAGGGTGCACACTGCCTTAGAGCAGAGGGCCACGAGCACATGCCAGGCGAGCTCCAGCACCCTGATTGAAACTGCTGCAGCAAATGACCTCTCGATTTTCCCACTACAGGGTGCTTTCTTTAACCCTCCTGTGGACTTTGATCGGCCATGACAGTCTTTCTGAAAGGCCTACTTGCTCAGACTCGTGACACTATTTTTAATGCATGCATGATATGCAGCATTGTTCCTTGTCCCCCAGAGACACAAACCAATAAATACGGGAGCGCTCACCCAGTGGCCCGGTCCAGAGCGGCATGTCAGGGAGCAACGGAGGGGTCAGCCAGGCCTCTGCCTCTCCAGTTGACCCATGGGTGCACTGTGCTAAGCATGGAGGCCCAGCTGGCTCCATGAAGCTGTGCTCCGTGGAAGAATGAGACATCACACTCAGGGCTCAGGAAAGCGTACAGGATCTTCCCTTCCTTCAGATGGACACAGACATCAGGCCTGGGGAGGATGAAGGCTCACCAAGGTCACCGAACATGGTGGGGCGGCTGTAGAGGGCCAGCATCAAACCCCACTGCTGCCACTCCCTGCAGACCCTGCTGGAGGCTGAGCTGCTCAAAGCCAGGCTGTGGCCATTGACATTTTATTTACCTAATCTTTAAACCCTTCTGCCTGCACTTGAAGGCTTTATGGAGTAGCAGTGGCTGAGAAGTTGTGGGTTTAATGCGCCAGGTATAGGATTGCTGATGCCAACCATGGTGATAAAGGAATTTTCTACTCAGTATATCCAGGTTGAATGCAGTCACCATGGATTCTGATGCTCAAATAGCCAAGTCACCCGGCCCCGCCTTTACACCTCCAGCCTCCTGTCCCAAGAGCTTCCTCACTTTGTGGCCCATCTAGACACCTGGGTTCACATTGCTGCTCTCTGGCCACATGCCAGAATCAGCATGAGGAGTGGTGTGTAGAGACCAACCTCCTTGCCTGCAAGGTGCTCACAGGTCCTGTGCTGCATCGTCTCTGGGCATTTTCAATGGGCAGAGCCAGCCAGGAGACGAAACTTCACAGCAAATTTCACAGAAATTTCACAGCAGGTACTCATACAGATCATCTCAATTTATTTCAATGATTCAAACAATCATTTTGCTCAAATTTAGCATTAGCGGGTTTTTACTTAACTGCATTAATTTTAAACTTGTATCTCATTTTGTTCATGTTTGTTTTCGTGGTACTGGGATTTGAACTCAGGGCCTGGTGCTTGCTAGGCAGGCTCTCTACCAGTTGAGTCATGCCCTCAGCCCCTTTGTATCTCATTTTCCACATTTAAAAACATTGGTTCATAACTATATCAGCATAATTCTTTTTTAAAAATTAAATTTATCTACTACACCTGATAATAGGCATTAAAGGTTAAAATAAGAAATCCAAAATCACTGTCATCGGGAAGGACAGCAATGAGCAAAGCGACTCTTGTTGCCCTTAGATAAATCCCACTGAGGCCTTTACCCCTAACGCGTGCTCCAGGTGCGAGGTACCTATTTTCCTGGGACCATGTTTACAGTTGGGAGACGGTCAGGTCTGCATTTTTTAGAGATTGCGTGGTATACATATACATAATGCATAATACATTTTCTATATAATTTTACTTGTAAACCTAAAATGCAAGCATGTGAGATGTGACAAGCACATAGCTAAGTCGTTTTCCCAGCATAACTTATGCCCATCCCATCCTTCAGATTACCAGTGACCACTGTCAGTCTTGCTTTATCCTTCTGTCCATATGAGCAAATGCACATCAAGGTCACATCCTCCCTGTACTTTACACTAAAGGCAGCCCTGCCCCCCAACACTGATGGATGCTGGAGATTCCCCACCTCGGTGTGTGGGGATCGTCTTAACCCATTTTGTTGCTAACAACGCACTACCCCAGCCTGGGTGAGCTCTGGAGAAAAGAGGTTTATGTTGGCTCCTGGTTGGGAAGGTGCAAGGTACAGAGGCCTCATGTGGTGATTGCCCAGCAATGGCCTGAACCCTGGCACCGGTGGCTGTGAACTTGCAGACATGAGTGTGCTAAGCATCTTAAGACTTGGGCAGCCATCGCTGCTAAGTGTGAGGGTTATGGTGATGAAAGATAGAGAATTAAGCTTTTATCCTGCTTTTTCTTGGACTTGGTGTTGGATTTCTGGTCCTATTTAGTGTCTTAAAGCAACACAAGTGTACAGTTCTGGGAGATCAGAGGTCAGAAATCCTTGTCAACTATGTCCCAAGGAGTTGCAGAGCATCACGTGGCGAGAGACAGGGTATGTGTGTTTGTGTGTGTGTGCACACACAACAAAACACATTCCAGCATGGCAGAGACAAGCCTTAGCTCCATGGCAGCCAGGAGCTCCTGTGTCGAACCAGCTGTTGACAATGGACATGGGGGGTCATCCATGTGATCCATGTGACCTCTACAAACATCCCTGCAACGAATGACTTGTGCATATGTTACTTTGCACGAGTCTAGGTGGAACTTTTTGTGCACCATGTAGTGTTGTGTTGTATTTTTTCCAGCGAGTGCGCTGTGAGCCTTGTCACTGAGCAGCAGCCAGTCTTGGGGCCCCAAGCTCCTCACGCACCTTCTCTCCTCCCATAGCTGCAAGACGCCTGGGCAGAGCCCCTCGATAACACATCACAAGACATTCTAGCATCCACTGGAGCCTGGCGCCAAGCACATAACTGGGGATCCTGTCCGTGCAGCCACAGGCTGGTTACTGGTAGCAGGCCACAGTGACAAACTAACACCCACTGGGGGAAGGTGGGGTAGCACAGCAGAACTGCCCCGCTCACAGCTCTGGGGACCAGAGCTGAAATCTTGGCATCCGTAGGGGCCACATTTCTTGGAAGGTTCTGGGGCATCCGATCCTTGCCTCACTCCCAGATTTTGGAGGTGGCCAACAATCTTTGGGGTTCCTTGGCTTAGAGCTGTGTCCGTCAGGCTCACTTCTGTCTACACGTGACTCCTCCCTGAGTCATCTATGTCAAATATCCCTCCACCTTCCTCTTACAAGGGATGATCCCATCTTGAGATCTCTGACTTAATTATATCTGCAAAGACCCTATTTCCAAACGAGAAACATTCACAGGTTCCAGGTGAATGTACCTTTTTTGGGGGGAGAGGGGCACTATTCAACATTTGCAAAAACACCCATGGACAAGCAACTCTGGAGACTTTGTGCCAGCCCAGGGGCGGGGAGGGAGGGCTTCTCAAAGTAGCTGTGGAGAAAGAGCTGTCATGCCCAGCAGCTCCCTGCCACCTCACCGTGGCATGGGATGATCCCAGCATCTCTTTCCTCCCACTGGCCAAACCTCATGGGAAGCCAGAGACAAGGACACCTGGGAGAGGACCATGGTCAGGACTTGCACAGAGCATGCCAGAAGAGCGGGACAGAGCTGGGGTGGGGGGCAGGGCAGCCAACTTACCTCCTCTCTCACTCTAGGCAGTGGACTATGAGCTGAACCGGGCCTTCATGCTGACCGTGATGGTGTCCAACCAGGCACCCCTGGCCAGTGGGATCCAGATGTCCTTCCAGTCCACGGCAGGGGTGACCATCTCCGTCACGGACATCAACGAGGCCCCCTACTTCCCCTCCAACCACAAGCTGATCCGCCTGGAGGAGGGGGTGCCTGCCGGCACTGCGCTCACCACATTTTCTGCAGTGGACCCCGACCGCTTCATGCAGCAAGCCGTGAGGTGGGACCCAGCACGACCACCCAAACTGCTCAGGCCCTCGGGTGATTCCAGTCCCCAGCCTGTCTGTTTTCTAAGGAGCATCCCAAAGTTGGGGGTGGCGTCCTACCTGAGGAGCTGTCCCAGACCTGGGGGTATGGGTCACACAATGCCATCCCCTGGAAAGTCCTGGACAAACCATGAGCTTTGTCACAGTTTCCAGGACAGGGAGATGTGACAGCCAGGCCAGGTCTGACCCTGGCTTCACTCTCGTAATGTACTGCCTAGGCAGGCCATTGACCCTCACTGCTCCTCAGTGACCTCACATACAAAATGGTGACATTGATACCACCTGCCTCCTGGGGTCTTCCTGAGGTTGAGACCACCCACCCCAGTCAGGGTGCAGTGACATGAAGCAATGCTGTGGCCTGTGTGCACAGCCTCCAGGTGCCTCCAGGAGACAGAACAGCTCTGTGCTGTGCCCACCATGCAGCTGCTCTATCTCCTGGAGGAAGGAGTGCGGGGGCCAGGACAGCCTGTCCCCCTCACCTCCAAACCTCTCCTCCACAGGTACTCAAAGCTGGCTGATCCAGCGAGCTGGCTACACATTAATGCCACCAATGGGCAGATCACCACAGCAGCCATCCTGGACCGAGAGTCGCTCTACATCAAAAACAATGTCTACGAGACCACATTCCTGGCCGCTGACAACGGTGTGTCCCATTTCAGGGCGGTGGCTGACACAGCTTCCACCATCCTGGTGCTGTGGCAAGGAAGGGTGCTGGTCAGGGGGACCCAGGTGGCCGTGGCACCCAGAGGATCACAAAGAGGCCTAGAGGGCTGGGGTCAGGGACGGAGCAGCACGAAGTGGCATCTGCATAGACAGCCGTGAGCTGGACCTTGTCACCCATCACTGCCCCCCATGAAGTCCCTTCCTCCCTCCATCCAAACTTCTGATACTCCATCTGTGTCCCCTGTCCCCCTCACTCATGCTCCATGGGAGTCAGGAGTCAGGGAGTTGAGTGGCCTATAGCTGTCTGGCTGATCCTCACTTAGCAAGACCTGGCTGGTGCCTTGGTTTCCACACCTGCAAACCAGGCCTCGGAACCACATCTGCAGCTTTCTTTATTTCTTTTCTTCCTTTCTTTATTTTTACAGTACTGGGGATTGAACTCAGGTCTACACTTTGAGCCACTCCACCAGCCACTTTTTGGGTTTTTTCTAGATAGTGTCTTGCGAACTATTTGCCTAGGGCTGGCTTCAAACCATGATCCTCCTGATCTCTGCCTCCCAAGTAGCTGGGATTACAGGCGTGAGCCACTGGCGCCTGGCTGCAGTTTTCTAAAGCTTTGAGCCAAAGCCTTGCCAAGCAGAAGAGAGAGGCAGGAAGTCCAAGCCCCTCACAGCCACCCCTGGCTCACAGCTGCCCTCGACATGTTGCCTCCTGGCTCTGATCACCAGAGCGTGGACTCTTGCAGCCCAGGATCAGAGTGACCCTGACAGCCCTGGGGACAGAAGGGCAGCAGCCAGGCCATGGACAAGTGGTACAGAGAGGGACCCTAAGGCCTGGGGTGGGGGGGGAGCTGTGCTGAGGAATAAGGCACAGGAGCTCTTGGGGCTTCCAAGGATCAGAGGCTGCACCCTGGACCCATAGTCGCCCACAGTCCAGCTGAGCACTAGTGGGTCCCTCACACTGCACAGGCCAGGGGCCAAGTCCAGCACCACTACCCCCTTGTGGGAACAGATCTGACCTCTCTGTGCCTCAGTTTCCTCCTCTGCAAAATAGAGATCTGGTACCCCTGAGGCCCAAGTGCATTGTGTCTCCCACAGCACGGAGGTCAGGCCTGGCACAGGTGATCCAAGGCCAGCATTCAGCATGGCCCTTATTGCTGTCACTCACTAAGTGCCTGCTGAGGACCAGGCACTGCCCATCAGTGAACAAAACAGACCAGAGCCTTATTTTCTCTCACATTAAAGAAGGTTGGAGTCAAACAAGTGAGAACCCAGGCTCACTCTGTGGCCATGTTCACATCCTTCTGTGCCATGGCATGGTCCAGAATGGCTGCTGGTGCTCCAACCATCATGGCCATGCTCTGGCAACTAGAAGGAAGGGAAAGGTGCCCTTCTAGGGACTTCCAGGGCACACCACACAGGACTCCACTCACAGCTCCTGAAGGCCAGAAATTAGTCACACAGCCACAGCTGGGAAACATAAACTCTAGTGGACAGTGCTGCTCTCACCAGAAGTCGGGGCTCTGTGTCTTTTATTAGAAAAAGCAGAAAATGGGGGCTCCTGGTAGGAGACCCTACCTGGCAGGCATTATGTCACCTTCTACCATCAGAGCAGTTTTTGAAGGCAAGCACTGCACTGGGCGCCTTAAATGTGCCTCATGTGTTTCCCCGAAGATGAGAGGGACACCTTGTAGGAATTTAACACACACACTGCCTGCCTCAGCCGACGAATGGGGCTGTTAACGATGGGGTCAGGAGTGGCCCTCAAAAGGCAGTGCCGTGGTCAGACAGTTCCTGGCACCGCCGCCTCCAAGCCTGGGGCTGGGCAGCGAGCACATCCCTCTGCCCACAGCACAGAGCTGGGGCCGAGGAATGGACTGGGTGGGGGAGGGGCTCTCAGAGGACAACTCCCTGAGGAGTTCTAGGGCCCAGCACAGCACCTCTGTCCACACCGAGGCCAGAGACAAGCAGAGGACTGCCATGGAGCCCACCCTCAATCCCATGTTCCGCCGCAGGGCATCCCAGGTCTGACTCAAGGACAGCAGCCCTTCATTTGGGTTGGGTCTGGGAGCTCTGCTGGGCAGGCAGAGAAGGGAAGGACTGGGAAGAGGTGCAGGGCCTGGTAGAGCCCCTCCCAGAACCCCCAGGGCACGGCTGTGAGCTCAGAGTGGGGGCCATGAGGTGTGGCTGCCACTATGGGGGAGGGTGTGACATGGGCACCAATGCCTTGTGTTTCTGTGTGCGCCTTGTGCCACTGTGGTGTGGCTGACATCTGTGACACATCTATTTATGTGTCGAGCACAGTTGGGTGGCTTCCTGTCACAAAGGGTGGACTGTTGGAGCAAGTTTGGGGCTGTGGGTCAGTCAGTGTGCAGCTGTGTGTCTCTCTGGCTATAGGGCCACACGCGTCTCTATGCCTGTTGCGTGTGACTGTGGGTCTGTCCCGCGTGGGGCTGGGGGTGGGTCCAGTGCAGTCATCATGTGGGAGTGGCCCTGTGCGGTCACTGTGTATGTCCTGCAGGGATCCCCCCGGCCAGTGGCACTGGGACCCTGCAGATCTATCTCATTGACATCAATGACAACGCCCCAGAGCTGCTGCCCAAGGAGGCGCAGATCTGCGAGAAGCCCGGGCTTAATGCCATCAACATCACTGCGGCCGATGCCGACATTGACCCCAACATCGGCCCCTATGTCTTCGAGCTGCCCTTCGTCCCCGCTGCTGTGCGGAAGAACTGGACTATCACCCGACTAAACGGTGAGTCCTCCTGGCAAGAGCCCAGCCACAGGGGAAACGGGAGCCACAGAGACGGGACGGTCCCAGAGAGGACTGCCCAGCCCTTGTCCTCTCAAATAGCACCGCACCACGCTGTTGGCCCCGTCCACTCCCCCCGACATGGGGACGTTAGGTCTTCCCAGGGTCCTGCAGTTTTAGAACAAGCATCCTGTCACTTCCAGTGTTTGGTTCTCAGCTGTCTCAGGGCACTTGCCCAGGTGCTGGTTGGTTGTCTGAGGACAGAAAACTCACAACTGTGGACAGCACTGGGAACACTGTACTGGAAATGTTACATCAATTCCAGCCTCCCCTGGCAGAGTGCCTGTTTCCTCAAACTCTGCCCAACACAGAATAGCAGAGCGTTTTGCCAATGGCACACCAAAACCAGTGCTTCCAGTCGTGTTTCTTGACTACCGTGGGAATTTTTTAGGTATGTACTGCTGTTCTCTTTCTGCAGTGCTTTTGCCTAGAGCTCTTGATAGGTAGATAGATTAGATAGATAGCTAGATAGATAGACAAATAGTAAATAAATAGATGATAGAGAGGATAGATAGATAGATGATAGATAGATAGATTTTCTCATTGCCAGTGTCTTTAACTTGATGGTGCTATGGTTGTATGTGTGTGTATTAACCAAATGGACCTTTCAGACTTCACGCCATTAGGCTTGGCCCCTCCCTGTGACAGTCGTGCTCAGGAAGGGTGGCTGGACACTCGCTGAGCATTCGCTATTCCTCCTACCAGGTGACTACGCCCAGCTCAGCTTGCGTCTTCTGTACCTGGAGGCAGGGATGTATGAGGTCCCCATCATCATCACAGACTCTGGGAACCCTCCCTTGTCTAACACGTCCATCATCAAAGTCAAGGTGTGCCCGTGTGACGAGAACGGCGACTGCACGACTGTTGGCGCAGTGGCCGCAGCTGGTCTGGGCACAGGCGCCATGGTGGCCATCCTCGTCTGCATTGTCATCCTGCTGAGTGAGTGCGGCCCAGCTCTGGGGACCTTGTGGGCACAAGCACTGTCCCAGGGACAGGGGCAGAAGTGGGGGCAGAAGGTACCACAGCTCACATTGCTCAGCCATGTGCCATCCACCAGGAATCTTTCAGAAAGCCATTGAACTGGGCCATACAGTGAGGGAGAACTGGGTCCTCCCATTCCTGTCAAGTCCAAGCAAAAGGCAGTGTGGCCCAGCAGCTCAGGGATGTCTACAACCCTCCAACCCCTCTCCATCACCCCACTCTGCTCCCAGAGCACCCTGGACCCCGAGGCTGGCTTGCTGGTGAGCATGAGAGCTATGGGCAGCTCTCAAGTGGAAGCCGAAGGGAAGGACAGCTCTGCCTGTCAACATCCCATCGGAAACTCTGGAACTCACTCTAATTGGTCTGGCTCAGGTCGCATGCATACCTTGTAACCAATCACCATCTGGGAATGGAGTGTGCTCATTGGCTCCACCCAGGCCACATGCTTCAATGGTGTCTTGCATTTCAGAGAGCCACAGCAGATCCCCAGACAGGAAGGAGGGCTGTGGGAAGGAGGAAGAAATGACCCCAGGTGTCCCTACTCTCATCCTCCCACCTAGACAGTCACTCTGGTCCAGACACCACCCATGGACCATGGTGGAAGTCAGGAAAGAGAGGGGCAGAGGTCTCAATGACCCTTCTCCTTGTCATACCAAGCCAGAGGGCCTCCACCACCATGCTGGCATGGACCAGGGGTCCCGTGTCAGAACCAGAGTGAGCCCCATCAAAGATGACCTTTCTCTGAGGCCTCTGCCTGTCTTCCGTATCCACATCTTCCCCTCTGTGTGCTGGTCTATTTCCAAGGCCTTCTTTGGACAGCCATTATCAGTGATGGGTTTCTTTATGTGGGAGCTGTGACAGCCCCACAGAGGGTTGGAGGTGGCTCCATGGCAGAAGAAGGCACATGCTCCTCCGAAGACACACCAGGAGGCCAGGGGTGCCACAGCCTAGAGAACTCACTTGGGGTATGAGTGAGACCTGGCTCACACCGGGGAGACAGCCTGGGCCACAGTCCAGGTGACTGAGTCAGCCAGGTCCAGGACTCAGCGGGCAGACACCCCTGCAGGCAGCTGTTGCCCAGTCATAGGACAAAGCTTAGGGACCTCTCTGTCCTCCTCCTTTGTCTCCTTGGGTGGCCCTAGCTACAGTGGTCTGCCTCTCTGCAGTCCTTGTTTAGTCCATTAGAGTCCAGAAGGCTCTAGACTCTAGGTTCTGACTCAGTCAGTCACACAGGTGGCAGCTCTTTCTTCCCTCTCCAATTCCCTCTTCACAATCCAGGCCACATCAGAGGGTCCCTCTGGCCACTGCTGTGTCTTTCCACATTTGCGGGAGAAATCTTGCATCACCCACAGCTTTGAGAGGGCCTCAAGCAGCCACAGAGGTTAATCAGGCTGGCACGACCTCCCAGACCCTCTGTAGACTGTGACTGCTGTGCCCCTGCCTTTGCTCAGCTCTGCAGTACTTAGCCTTTACTACTACTTATGGGCCTCAGTCTCCATGTCTGTGAAATGGGGAGACGATGAGAGGACGCACGGGAGTGACCAATACGTACTTGTGAGGGTGTGAGCACTGCTCCTTATTCCCAGATGCCACCCTGGCCTAACATCTGCCCTTCAGAGCCAGGGTGCAGAGGAGCAAGAGGGGCAGGGGAGGGGAGGAAAGGCAGAGCCAGCACACAACAAGGGGGCCTTCCTGTGAACTGAGATGCCTAGGGGTCTGGAAAAGAGCAGAATGTCCATGGGAAGTGGAGCCTGGACACAGACCCCAAAGGGCCGTGGGATTCAATGCAGGTGAGGGAGAGGGGTCCCCTTCATCCACACAGGTGCAGGTTAGGGATCACCACTTCTCTTAGTTTGCACCCAATTCATTTGGGTTGTGGGAGAACTCCTGCTCCCCAGTTCCCCCTCAGTTTGAAGGGCTCTACCCATCAGTCCAGCACATTCCCAGGACTGACTGACTCTCTGGGGGCTCTGGGGTGGGGAAGGCCATGGCCTATGCTCTCTTCCTTCCCTGCCTGCACTGAGGCTCATCTGGAGCCACTCAGTGGCCCTGTCTGGGCTCCCCACTGCCCCTCCCAGGACAGAACCCCCCTGTACCATTGGGGAACTTTCCATGACTCCTGGCCTAACACTTCCTGCCCAGAAGCCCTCATTTGCACCTATTCTGCCAAAAACCCTCAGCTCTCACAATTCAGAAGAGCAGGGCCCCCCCCCAGCACGTCCTCTCACGTCCTCCTGTCCCTCAAGCATCAAAGTGTGTTCTGAGCTGGCCATGTCCCCCAGGGAGTGCAGGAAGAGGGAAAGTGCACCCAGTGGGTCCTCTGCACCCGCAGGCTCTGCATCAGTGCCTCACTCAATGGCAGAGTGGAAATTTTTTTTTAAACAATTGTGTCTGGGCTGAGAAAGTCCAGACTTTTTTCTCATCACCCCTCCCTGAACAATACAGTGTGACAAGTACCGCACAGCACTTACACTCTATCCGTTATTGTAGGTCATCTAGAGGTGGCTACATGTGCACAGAGGATGTCTAGGTTCTCTGCAGGTGCACACCTTTGTGTGCACAGGGACTTAAGCATCTGTGGATTTCAGTACACAAAGGGCAGGGGGACCCACAGCCCTGCCCTGGGTTTATCCACCCTCTGTAGATAAGCCTCTGAAAACACTCTTCCGGTTCCCAGACAGGGAGTGAGAGACAAAGGGCCAGAGCCAGTCAGCTCTGCCTCGGAAACTGCACATACACTATACACGTGTGCATCCCACGCACGCATACGTGAGCGTGCACACGTGAGCACAGTGCAGTATGCACATGTACTAATGAATGCATTCGATCATGCATGCACACACAAATCTATGCATTGTGCACCTGTATATTGCACCTATTCTGCAGAATAGGTGCAATATACAGGTGCACAATGCATAGATTTGTTCGTGTTACACATGAACGCAAGTGCACACACCGTAACATATACAGATCTACACTCACACAAGCATGCACGTGAACTTGTGTGCACATGCCTTCCGTCCTTCCATGGACACGCATGGAGCATTCATACATCCAACCATGCCCATGAAAATGAGCTATGCACAGGTTTGCACACCCTCACATACCCAGACATGTGCATCCGTGTACACACAAAGGCATGCTTATGCATACTCACACTTGTGTACACACCCTGCTCACGATGGCGGCTCCTCCCACAGCCATGGTCCTGCTGTTTGTGGTATGGATGAGGAAGCGGGAAAAGGAGCGACACACAAAGCAGCTGCTCATTGACCCCGAGGACGACGTACGTGACAATATCCTCAAGTATGACGAGGAAGGCGGCGGCGAGGAGGACCAGGTGAGACCGGGGTCGCATCTGCCTGTCTCCGGGGGGTTCACTCTGGGGTTTTGACAGACATTTTTGTCCTTTTTGTGAATGGGAAGGTGTTGAGCATTCTGTTTGGGATGCACCGTTCCCAGCCCAGGTCCCCTGCCCGTGTTTGCATTTCAGGCCCTAGCTGTCTGTGCATGCAGCATCTGCCTCCTCCCTCTGTCCAGCCACCGGCCCCAGCCTACTGCTGCCCTGTGCCATGAAGGGGACAGCCAGGGTCTGCTAGGGACACCAACACCCACCACCTGCCTCACACTCCCAGTGCTGGGGCAGTGACCAGAGCTGGTGGGTGACACAGAGCTGCCTGGTTGAAGCTGAGGAAGGGGCTGGCTCCTCCCTGTGTGAACAAAAGCTGCTGTGTATGGTCACTGAGCAGCAGGGCAGGAGGGTCACTTGAGAGAGTGCCAGGCCAGCAAAGGCATCAGGTGGGCAAACCCACACCTCCCAGAGGACAGGAGGGATTTGGACATTGTGAGCAGGGCAGACCAGGTGACTGACTCAGACAGCAGATGTGCTTGGGGACTCTGTGGTGGTGCGGGACCACGGGGCAGGTGCACTCAGGCAGTGACAGAACGAGACAAGGGTATGCTCCAGGTTCTCCTGGCACCCCATCTGTTCCTTCACTGACCTCCCTGACTCCCTTGGCCTCCGCCCCCAGGACTACGACCTCAGCCAGCTGCAGCAACCGGAAGCCATGGAGCATGTGCTGAGCAAGGCCCCCGGAGTGCGACGGGTGGATGAGCGGCCGGTGGGCGCCGAGCCCCAGTACCCAGTCAGGCCTGTGGTGCCCCACCCAGGTGACATTGGTGACTTCATCAACGAGGTATGTGCCCTCCAGTGGGAGAACTGAGCATGGTGTCTCCTCTAAAAGTAAAATCCTGTTAACACATGAGTGTTCCTTGGGGGAGGAGGTGACCCAGACTGGGTTCAAGGCCAGCCTGCCCTCCAGCTGTGTGGCCCTGGCCACCTTAGCTCCTGAGCCTTCTGAGAAAGACTAAGATTCCCCCCTCTAGACTGAGGATGAAGACACCAGGGGCTTTGTGCACAGCAGGGACATAACAGAAATTTCAGGTCACCAAGGCCACCATGCCACCAACATGCAGTGTCAGGAAGAACCATTCTCAGGAGGAGAACAGCAGAGGGCTGGGATGTTCTTGGGCACAAGGGGCCCCTTGAGCCCTAATCTCAGACCTGACCTTCTGCTTCTGGGATCAGCCTTCCCAACCTATGTCAAAATCCCGATGCCCGGGAAGACAGACCCAAGCACAGATGGCCTGGTCTCTGCTCCGCCCAGCACTCCCTACCCCCTGCCCATCACCCACAACAGGACATGATGTTGGGAACCACTGAGATGCAGTGTCCTGCAGTGCCCATTCTGACATTTGGAGTTTGGATGTACCAAATACCAACAACAAGGCCTCCCAGCCTAGGATTCATCTGTAAGAGAAGCCTGGCGCACCTCTTATAACTAAGCCAGGAACGAGCTGTCTGCCCTGTGAGCCACGCCCCTGCCTCTGTCCATCTTCCTTTGCAATAAAGCAAGCAGGAGCAGGTGAAGCAGTACAGCTCCCTGCTGGCACTGCTTCCCTGAAGTCTCCACCAGGGTCCCACCCACCTGCCAGCATTGGAGGGAGAGAGGGGGCTTCAAGACCTGGTCTCCAGTACCCACTACTTATTATTTATAGGGGCTGAGCAACACCTGTGCCTCAGCCTATGCCAGGATTGGATGTATTTAACCAGGTTGAGTACAGCCCAGGGGGAGTGGGCGAGATTCCTCTGAATATTCCCCAAAGTAGTTGTCAAAACAAAGTTCTGCTATTGTCTGAAGCCAGTGCTGCCCGCACACACTTAACAACTACAAAGCAATAAAATGTTACAAAAAAAAGAAAAGAAGAAGAAAGAAAGTGGTGTTCTCTCCAACCTACAGTCAATAGCCTGCTTTTAAATAATTTAGGGGAAGTTAAAGATGCAAATTATAAACCACTCAGTTCTGAGTGTGAGAAGAGCACTCCCCTCCCAGGACAGGGCTGGGCCAAAGTGGTACTCAGAGGAAAATACATAGCCTTAAATACATAACAGGGAACTAGAGAGAATGAATAAAAAGAACTAAACTTTTGACTTGAGAAGTAGGGGAGAAAAAGCAAAATAAACCCAAAGAAAAATATCCTGAAAAAAAAAAACAAATTAAGAAAGGCAAGAATTAACGAGAGAGAAGTATACATCTCAAGGCTCACCTGCTCGAGTGGTTGTCCCTAGGCCTCTGGGTGGCCTAGAAGCAGGTGGGTTCGTGCAGCTCAGGCCCAGACCTCACTGTGCCCAAAATGTCACACAGAGTAAAGCAGCTATCTTTCTTCCATCTCTCTAAAAAGACAATGTTTTGGGTTCCTTTGATGTCTATAGTGCTTGGGTTCACTTCTGAGTTTTCTATTCTCTTCCACTGAAAAGATGATGAGTCTCGAATCCAAATGTGAGACACCTTGTCACCTCTTTCTTTAGCCTCAGAATCTGAGAAATTGTTTCTTTAACAAGAAGTTTCATATTTAAATAAATTAATATTAGCTAGCTAAACCATTCCCTCCTAGGTGTGGAGAAAGGCCTAGGAGCCATCTGGAGTCTGCCTTGAAGGCACAAAGCCTCTGCTGTCTGGGGGTAACATGGGAGATACAGTTCCTAAAGGTTAGTTAGACACAGAAACTCCCAAAGCTGACTAACTCCATCCTTAAAGGAGGAGAAGCAGGGCAGGCCAGGTCCAGTCCACTCAGCCCAGTACAGGGCTCTTGAGTGGGCCTAGTTGGGTCCAGATGAGCCCCTCCCCTCAGCCATTTACAAACCCCAAACCAGCAGACAGGGGGCCAAGGATGGGTGCATCGGTCCTTCAGTTTAAATTAGTTTCCAGTCTTAGCTTGGGTTTTCCCAAAAGGAGAGACACAATTTGAGGGCAAGTGGTCTACCTAGGGGCTAATCCCAAGGAAACAGCTGTGGGTACCTGTGACTCCCTCCTACTAGGGACCCGCAGGTGCCAGGGTAGAACAGTTGCTGGAGCAAAGGAGCTGAGGAGCACCCACCCCTCCGTGGTCACTGCTCCAGGGCACCCTGTGGGCCACGTGTGGAGCAGGTGCTGACAGTAGAAGTGGCGCCAGCAAACACTGAAGGAGAGGGCGGGGCTCTGGCAACGCCTGCTGCATTGCCAAATTTTGATCCTGGGGATGTTGACATGTTACCTCCCATTTCTGACTTCTGGCCACCCTGCGTCCGGGGTCCCTGGTCAGCTGAAGAGGAGGACATCTGCCCCTTGGGAGGGCTGTGGACAGAGCGCAGCCTTCCTCTCATTCTCATTCACTGCTGGTGTTTGCTACCCAACACTCTCCACTGCTGTTCTCACAAACAGACTTCCCTGCTTGGTCCTCTGAAATGCCCTGCAGCAAACTCAGGAGCATTTATTGAGCGCCCACTGTAGGCAAGATCTGAGAACTTCATCTCCCTGCCCTGCCTCCCACCTCCTCTTCTGAGCCCCTTCCTGCTCCATCAGATTTCAGAGCTGCACACCCTCACCCTAACCCCTGTCTGTGACCCCCCAGGGACTGCGAGCTGCCGACAATGACCCCACAGCGCCACCCTATGACTCCCTGCTTGTCTTTGACTATGAGGGGAGCGGCTCCACTGCAGGCTCTGTCAGCTCCCTAAACTCATCCAGCTCTGGGGACCAAGACTATGACTATCTGAATGACTGGGGACCCCGGTTCAAGAAGCTGGCGGACATGTATGGGGGCGGCGAGGAGGACTAGCCAGCCTCACGTCTCCGACAGAAAAGAGAACAGCGCTGGAGGCGGAGGAGCAGGACGAGCAGAGGCAGCCAGTCTCCTGACCCCAACCCTGACCCTGCGACAGCTGGCCTGGTTCTGGTGTTAGGAGGCCCCTCCCCGGCCCGCCTTCCCCAGCGTGGAGCTGTCTGGCATGAACACTGGTCACCAGGTGCACGTCTCAGTAGCCACGGACTAAGGGAGAGCCAGAGGCACTGTCCTAACTTGAATTTCCTAGAACAGAAGCACTGTTGAAAAACAAAACAAAACAAACAAAAAACAAAAAGTGCCTTTTGGTACACGTGTCAGATTCCCTAAACTCAGGAGTGACTGAAAGCAAGCAGACAGCCCAAGGTCCCCTCCATCCCAGGCCTGGCGGGCCCTGACTCCAGCTGGTCCCACTCTGGAAGCACCTAGAATGGGGAAATGAGTCCTTTTTCTTTTTTTTTTTCTTTTGGCCTTTTATTAAGAAAAAGAAAGTGGGTGACTTACTTGAAAAAGTAGTTTAGGGTCCAAATCCCAACATCCTTTGTTGAGTGCAGTCACCTGGGCCCCTTTGGGCTCCCCAAGCCTGACAGGTGAGCCAAAACTTTCCAGCCGTAAAAGCCCCTGAGGCTGGTCAAGTTCTGGATAACAGGCCAGGCCATGTGGATTTGGCTCTCAGCCTCCCCCTCAGAGGCTGTAATAGCTAGGGCTGGCAAGGCTCCCAAGGAACCATCCTCAGTGCTCACCATCTCCACCATTGGCCACCCCAGTGCCCCCTGGTCTGCCAGAAGAGCCTCCCTCTGGGTCACCTGTCCCCCCAGTGCCACTGATGTCCCCTTTGCCTTTGGTTCAGGATTGGGTGTTGTCCAAGAAGCCACAGTGCCCTGTAAAAATCCTGGCAGAAGCCCTTCATCCCTCGGGATCTGACTCTGGGGGCCCCCTCTCAAAGATCCAGTGAACGTGCATCAGCCAGAACCCTCCTCCAACACTCTGACTCTGGCCACCTCCAGGCCTGTGCAGATGGTAGACAACTAAACAAAGCCTGCACCAATCAGTACGGGGTAGGCTTGGTACCAGCACCAGCGTGGGTAGACTCTGGCAGCCCCTTGTCCTTCCCTGGCCCCTCTGACCTGAGCTGATGCTGTGGACTGCTGGGGCAGCAAGGACCTGCTCTGAGTGGCCATGAGAGACCTTGTTTGGCTAGACTGGTGTGTCAGCAGATGCTCCAGGTGCATGCACCAGAAGCTGGAACCCTCCTTTCCTCCCAACCCTGTCCTAACTGCTTTCTGATGGCCCTCCAGAGCTGGCTTTGCTCTTGCCGTGGGTGGTCTGACTCAGGCAAGACTGGCTGAGGTGATGTGTCCAAGACTTCCAGGAGAACATAACACTGCCTTGCTCCTCTAGATGGAGAACAGGCCTGGGGCATCTCCACATTTGGGCATGAAGCACCTTGTGCCAGGACAGCAGGTAGACAGGTACTGGGCACCCTGTGTTGGGTCAGCTTCTAGGCTCATCCCAGGTGGGTACATTTCTGAGGAAGGGGTGAGGGTGCCAGTGACCTGCAGGCTTGATGTTAGAGCTCCTCTTAGGGAGAAGGAGGTACCAACATTGACAAAGGACAGGGAAGCCCTTCCTGGACCCCACTCCTTCTGCTGGGGGTCAGAAGAGCCTCAAAAGGGCTGGGAAGGTTGAGGTGCCAGGGGGCAGCATGTCCCCCACCCGGGGGTCCCCAATCCATTGCTTCCCTCAGCCTCTGGCCTCCCCTTTTGCTAGGATCATCGTCTCTTTTCTACAGAGCGTTGGCCTCAAAGTCGCACCTGAGTGGCCTCACGGGGACGCCAAACTCATGGGTGCGTCCTGTTGGACATCAGGGTTCTTCCCCAAACCAAACTCATCCCCACCGCTGTTCTCCCTGGAGTGGAGCTGGGTTACAAACTCAGCTTGGATCATTCTGACCCCTCGAGAGATTGTCCGAGGAGGCAGGGAGCGAGTGAGTGTCTGCAGACAGCCAGACCAGATGGGCTCCTGGAAGGCAAGTGGGGTCACCCAGTCCTAAGCTGTGCTATGCAAATCACTCGTGGCCGGCAGCCAATGAGGATGGTCTTGAATGTCTGGGGCATGGCCACTGGAGGAATGGGGGGGGGCGGGACTGGAATTTTCTGGTTTTATTTTTGGGATGTTCTTGCTTCAGTGGAAGCTCTGAGCCCAAGGAGTGTGAGTGGATAGTTGGAAGTGTGTCTGTGATCAGGAGCGAGGCAGCCAGGAACCTTTATCTGAAATTCTGCGGTCTCTTCCCAGCTAAGCGATGTCTCACCTGCCTCCCAGGAAACCCTCTCCCCTCACCTCTTTCACTGCCAAAGCTGCCTGCATTTGCCCTGAAAGCCTGCAGGCACAGGCAGAGGCTGGGTACCAGCTGGAGGGAAGTCCACGGCTGGATGCCTCCCCCTGAAGCCCCATACCCAGTCAGCCCCTGGGGCTGGAGAAAGCTGGGGTTCCACACCCTCCCAGACCCATCTCGGAACCGAGTTCTGAGGCCAATGAGTTAGCATTAGCCAAGTGTGCAATCAGTGTCAAACGTCTCTCTTCTGTAGCTTGTAGATACGACGTCTATGGGTGATCAGGGGCCAGCCGCCAGAGGCCAGAGCCCAGTGCTGGCAGAGTGCAAGGGCATAGTTTAGTTTCTTTAGGGAATTTTCTTCTAGAACAAGAGAAACCTGCACTGCTGGATAGAATGCCAAAAGCACCCTGGCCATGGCCAGCTCCAGCACCTCTAATTCCAGGCCAGCAGGTTTTCTCTTTTTTGTGTCTTTCAGCACATCCAAAACGCTAGGCCTCCCACCACCAAAGTGTCAGAGTAATGGCCAAGTGTCAGGCCCTCAGAGATGCCTCCATTTCCCCGGCGTGAGTACATGGTCCATTGAGATGACAACTCTGTTCTCGCCAAGGAAAAAGTTGGGGGGAAGGCAGTCTCCAGTCCCATCAAAGCTAAAAAGAAGAACACCAAAAAATCAGCAGCACCTCCTTGCACAGAGCGCCAGGCGGGAGTGCATGCAGCCCCGTGTGCACACGAACAGGCTCTGCTCCATGCAGCTGGTCCAGCGGGAGCCCCTCTGTGTATACTTGGAACGCGTTTTACTTTTCCTTTCTCTCCTTTTTCCATTCTGATTTTTTTTTTGCATGTTTCTTTTTGAAAATGGACGCGCGCAGCAACCCGCATGACCACGGTTGTTTTGGAGAAGGATACCGGAATATGATGTCTTCACGCTGCAACTCTGAGCATTGCGCGGTTAGGCAAATGTTCCAACATTTTTGTAATCGTCAACAGCACAACTATTTTGTATTGTTGTTTGTATCATTTTGTACCGAAAAAGAAAAAAAAGGAAAAAAAAAGGGAAGAGAGTCCATGTTTTCAATGTGTTTTCAGTGCCTGGCGGTCTTGGTTCCAAACAGAATGGCAGCTTTGCAGAATTGTCCTGTCTTGGAGTGGAGTCGAGCGTCGGCACGCAGCTCCAAAGGAGTGAATAAAGTCCCCCTTTAAGTAGTCAGCCTCCACCTGGCTTGTTTTCATCCACTTATTCCAGGAGCTGACAGTGCTCAGGGGGGGCAGTGGGTAGACAAGAAGAAGTTGGCGCCACTAGGAGGACCCAACAAATACTTCTGGCCATCTGTAATGTCATGTGTCAGACACTGTTCTAGGCTCTGGTAAAACAGGCATGAACAAAACCAGCCCACTTCTCACAGTTTTTTGAGGCCCATATACTGTATGTGTATTTTTTTTTTTTGCACTACTGGGGTTCGAACTCAGGGCCTACACCTTGAGCCACTCTACCAGCACTTTTTTGTGAAGAGTTTTGTTTTTTTTTTTTTGAGAGACGGTCTCACAAACTATTTGCTCAGGCTGGCCTCAAACTGGGATCCTCTGATCTCTGCCTCCTGAATAGCTAAGATTACAGTTGTGAGCCACCGGCTCTGGCTCTGTATTTAAAGTTTTTAGTGGTTAGAAATCAATAAAGTATGTTCCCCACAAAGGTGGCAAATACATCTTTGTGACACCACAGAAAGCCAGGTTCAGCCAGGCGCTGGTGACTCAAGCCTATAATCTTAGCTACTTGGAGGCTGAGATCTGGAGGATCAATAGTTCTCAAGACCTCATCTCCAAAATAACCAGAGCTAAATGAACTGGAGGCATTGCTCAAGTGGTAGAGCACCTACTTTGCAAGTACAAAACTCTGAGTTCAAACCCTGGTCCAACCAAAAACAAAAAGAAAGAAAGTCAGGTTCAAATACAGCATCAAAGAATGAGCTGGACAGGGCCCCACAGCTGCCACCACCCTTCCTTCCCTACCTGCAGCTCTGACCAACATGGCATGGCCGTCTTGTCTGCATGTGGACATCAGAGCAGCACAGCCCAGCTTTGCCTAACCCCAAAACCACATCCCTTGGGTCTACGGGTGGGTCCACCCCATAAAAACAACTGCAGAAGAGGCCTGGGTAGGGGGATGGGGCCTGGACGTAGTTTGTGAGGAATGCCGGGATCCTGATATCCACACAGTGGACTAAAGGGGCAAATGACTGGCCCCTTGGCATGTGGTCTCTTCCCACTGGCTAGAGCACAGGAGCATGCACTGTGTTAGGGTTCGCAGGAGGAACAGAACCAACAGAACATAGCACTACAAAGGGGACGTACCTACCGGATCCACTTACACGGCTGGAGGCTGGGTAGAACCACCATGATCATCATCTGCAGGGTGGAGAGGCAGAGAACCTGGAGGCTTCAGAACAAAACAAAATGAACCTGGTGGTGGGGAGGTGCCAATACTGCAGCCCCAACCTAAGGCAGAAGACCTGAATGCTCCCTGACAGGTCACTGGCAGGAGCCCACATTGGAAGACTGGAGAAGCTGGAGTCTGATGTCCACAGGCGATGGCAGTGACAGAGTGGAGCATGCTTGTGCCGCCTGGCTTACTCTTCCAGTTTGCTCTGTCCCGTTGGGCTCCCAGCCTTTTGGATGGTGCTGCCCACATTCAGGGCGGGTCCTTCTGCCTCAGCTGCTCTCCCATATGCCAGCT